GGACCAATCCCAATCATTCACGCTCCGGGTCGGGACTTGTTCCGGCTGGGACGTCTGCTTCTGGCAGCGTAGCTGGGTGGGAGATGGGTTGAATTGGGTGGAGAAAACTGCGGTCTTGGCCAGTGGATTTGCCACACCCAAACTGCGGATCTTCGGCACCACTGCGGACCCGCTCCGCGGACGGCACCCTCCATGCTGTCAGACGGTGTCGCAAGAAGTCTGTGAATCACCTCAGCCTTGAGTTATCACGTTCGGATTCCGAGTCCAAAACCAACATCGGATTTCATTCACCTCCTATAAGGAGTCGGTGCGGAGTCCGGGCCACCCACAAGACGTCCATGTTGAGAGAAATGGGACACCCTGTCCTGGAACCTCCATGGATTGCACCCTGTCCTCCGCTGAAACTGGTGAGAAAACCCATGTCCAGCCCTCCCCAACTCCACAGCGCCCCCCACAGCCCTCCCCCGTCCTCCAGGAGTGGCACCGCTCCGGCCAGAGTTACCTGCGGTCGCGCCGCCGAGGGCCCTACCCAACCGACTGAGTTTGAGGAGAGCGAAGATGGCTCGCGAGCGCGTGGGAGCCGCGAGCGCAGGAGAGTGCAGGGAATCACCGTCCAAACGACTCGAATGAAAGGTCTGGGCGAATGAATGTTGTGCAGATGTGTGCTGTTCCCAAACGCTCCATGTATGGAATATATGCCCACATTGACCCCCCAAACCACCCCAGCTGATTGGCATATATACCATACATGGAGTGTATGGGGTTTCTTTCTTTTTGATTTGAGAACCTGGAACACGAGGTTCCCGAAACACGGCGGAACTCCATCCCGAAAGCATCCCGGTGGCACCCCCCCAGGTATCCAAAAGGGTCCGTCTGAATCTGATTCCATCTGAGGAACTACACACTCTGACACTTGTATTCAGTGAACTCAGTTACCAGGTTGGGAAGGAAGGTGAGGGAAACGTAAGGTGAAAAAGTCAGCGCAACTGAAATGTTTAACAATCTGTTCACTCATCTGCAGAAGCGCGGCTGAACGTCGGCGGCTGAAGGCAGCGGTGGGAAACCGGTTTGGGGGTGGTAGCATGAAGGACCATGAAAACAAAA